ACAGCTGAACGATATGTGAACCAGTATTCATAGTACCACATGCCACAGAGCATGCACCGAATTCTTATTAATGGTTGGCAAGTTGTGGATCGAATGGCTTTGCCAATTGGCATGCTCAGTGAAGAGGCGCAAGAAGCATATAACAAGGACTTCAAGAAGTTCTGGGAGTCTTTTTCAAGAAAGTGCTTCCGTTCTAAAACAAATGAAGACTTGTTAAGGAGATTGATGTGTTCATCTGATCCAATTATTAGTAATTTTAGAACACCACATCATCCAGAGAAGAAAGACTTTCCAGATGGATTGCTAGAGCTACTAAAAGAAGTACCACTTGAAGATTTTGTGTAAATATGTTATATTATTACATTTTTACTGCAATGCTACTTGAATTGTGTTTCTGTTTTCATTTTTTCTGCTTATCTGTTTATTATATTTTTATTGCTGCAAATTAACGATGTTATAACGACATTTTGTTTACCCCATTGTAACTACGGATATTGTAACTAAGCAATATAATTATCCATAGCAACAAAATAAAAAAATAGCACCTTCATAAAAAATGTACACATCATATTAGTACTCATGCCAAATTTAGTGAGTATAGCACTTGTAAAATATCTGCAAATACCGAAAATAGGTTGTTGCTAAGCAAAATAAAGGTATCCATAGCAACAAAATAAAAAAAAACACCTTCATAAAAAGTGCAGACATCATATTAGTACCCATGCTAATTTTAATAAATATAGCACTCGTGAAATATCTGGAAATCCCAAAAATAGGTTGTTGCTAAGCAAAATAAAGGTATCCATAGCAACAAAATAAAAAAATAGCACCTTCATAAAAAGGGCAGACATTATATTAGTACTCGTGCTAATTATAGTGATTATAGCCCTAATGTTAAATTAGTTATGAATTTTGTCCAGTAAAAGTGAATTCTGGCCCACTGTGGATTTGTGTAGTTCAGCGTTTTTTATGTAACAAACTGTTACGTCGATTTATTAATCTTGACACTCGTCAACTAAAATTTAAATAACATATGTTAGTTAAAGTTTAAGAAAACTTTTGATGCAATTCGTGTAGTAACAAACTGTTAGAATAACCCTAGTTTTATCTGGACACTAACCTGTTTTGAGTAATTGTTTAAAACAACCAACCTGGTTCTGCATAATAGTTCTGATATTATTTAATTCTATTTAATATCAATTTCCGGATTATCCCAAAGTATAAAAATTTATATTAATATATTTAGTGAAATAGAGATGCAGACATTTTAATACCTTTTAAATTTCTGCATAGCTTACATGTTAAAATTGGATGTTTAATTTGTTAAGATTACCAAAATTTAGGGTTAAGAGTTATACTTCTATTTGCTATAGAAATTTAAGGTTTCAAATAAATTGAACGCAACCAAGTAATTTTATCACTTAAAACATGCATTTATATAATAATTGGCTCTAATAATATATCTAATTAGTCAGTTTATATTTAAATGAAAACTAAAAAAAATGCAGAACTGCAGATAGAGGTTGGTGGAAATCCTAGGTACATTTGAGACAGTAAAGGTTGTGCAAAGAATGTACAAATATAAACAAGCATAAAATATAAAGCAAATATAAAACCAATCTAATACTTTCTGCATACTTGTATTCATGATTAATGTTAGTATTTGGTTGAACACAATCCTGAAAATGTGAAAAAAAATGTTAAAGAGAAAAAAAAAACAAGGTGCAGTTATTTACCCACGTCCTTTAGAAAAAGTCCATTAAAAAAAGTAGGGGGGCATGTGCCCCCGGCGTTTTCGGTACTTGGCATTTGCCTACAAGCTCTAACTCTAATTCGAGAAATAAATAGTTTAATTCAAATTCTGATTAGATCATTTTTTTACGCAATTTTTTAATTTTTTTTATTACAATTGTTCATCTTATTGTAATTGTTTAGTATTTACATAATATTTTTATTGTTTATTATTTTATATATTTATTATTTTAATATTTTTATTTATTATTTTCTTCTTCTTATATTATTATTGTTTCGTAATTTTTTAATTGATTTTCAGAAAGTATTTTGAATAAGCGTTTTGCAAAAGTAAATTTTGAGTTATGTACAAAAGTAAATTTTGAGTTATGAAATTATTCGGCAGCAGATTTTTCAGAATGTTTCTATAGTTTTACCGAATACTCTATCCACCCTTGTAATAAGGAAGATTTCCCATCATGAGAAATAACATATATTTCCAAATTTAAACGGATATTTCCGTAAACACATATCGGGTTTTTACGTAAAATAACAAAATATTTTAAAGTCCGTAACCTTAAAATACGGATCTTAATCGTATATTACTTCAGTCACAAGTATAGCGGCATTTTTTACTTTTTCAAGAGGGTATAGAGTAAAGAAATTATGAGAAAAATAAATTATAGGAAAGTTAGAGGTTTTAAAATATTTATATGAGAAAAATAAATTATAGGAAAGTTAGAGGTTTTAAAATATTTATATTTACATTATTAGAGTAAAAGAACCAAAATGTTTGTGTAAAAAATATATTTATATAAACAAGTTTATAGCACCCTACTCAACCGGTATTTGGTCCTAAAAGACGTCTTATCAACGTTCAAAAAACGCTCTGAACGTGTTTTGAACGTTCAAAAGACGTCTTTTTAGAACCAAATACCGGCTGGGTAGCTCTAATAAACTGTATTGTACTCTATAATAAAGTACATATTTTATGTGACACAAAAATGTCATATAAAATGTGTCCTTTATTGAAGCTAAAGTGCTATAAACTTTTATTGAAATGTGTACTTTAAATGTGTACTTTAATCCACGTAAAATATGTTCATATGTAATATGTTCTCTTTTTTCTTCCTACTGAAAATTTCTTTGTCTGAATTTCGAAGCATTTTGCAAATTATTGAATGAATTATAATTCGTATAATTATATAGTTCGTAAACTTTTATTGATAATTATCAATAAAAGTTTCGGAACTATATAATTATAACATAACATATGAGAAAGCTAATGTTAAATCATAAGCATTAGGGTTAACAATATAATGATATAAATGTTTACAACATAAGCGTATACATAAGTTATAGCAACATATTCCCAGTGAGCACAGACATCAATAGGACAACTTTACAACATCTTATGGACGTCATAAGTCCGTAGGACGTCTTTAAGACGTCTACAGGACGTTCTGGGCCCGTTGGGTTTGTTTTTAGGTAAGTTCAAGAAAGATTTTTGATAAAAGAAAAAAGATCTGCGCCTTTTTTGACTTTTGGTAGATTGATGATCCGAGATATGGTGTGATTCTAGAAAACATGACGTCTGGACGTCTTATTTTTTAGAACTGCACGTTTTGGGCGTCTTTTGATTGTTCAAAACACGTCCAAAACGTTCTAAAGACGTTCAAAAGACGTCCAAAACGTTTAAAAGACGTTCAAAAGACGTCTTTTTAAGTCCGTGTCCATTAGGTACTTGTGTTAACGCTTAATATATAATTTAATTAAAAAAAAAACACTTTGCATTTACGTTTTATGGAGTTTTTGGTAACAACTCAGTCCGCTACCATATTTGCTTAGAGACAAGGTTTCCGCAACCTCGCTACAAAGTGGAAAGTCCGCGTGTTCGTTGTTCGTGATCTTTTAGATTATTTTTAAATATAAAATCACTTAAAGAGTCTGTAGAAATTTAATTAGCAAACTTTATCTTGGTATGATAAAAATTGTATTGCAAATTAACAAAAAATCTAATTTTTAGCTAAATTATTTTATTACACTTTTAATAAAAATTATACAAATATATTTAAAATTTATCAATAAAAAACACCGCATTTATATATATATCGACATTAAAAAATAGCCAATCTTTAACAATTGACGTCAATAATTTTCAATATATATTCAGCAGTTTTGATAAACATTACATTCGCTGTCGTTTTTCTTGACACATTTAAAATTGAGATTTGTTTGTTTAATTTTTCCAAAACTAAGAAGTGCGCGCTTTCACGAGACCACGACGCTCAAGGTGACCACAATGTTCTGATCTAACAATAATTAAAAACCATAAAAAATATTTTTTTTTAATATTCTTCTGACGAAGACACAAAGAAGATAATTAACGAGTTAGTTTCATTAATATATTTGATTGCTAATAATTATCGATTAATAATTATCGATTAATTTCTAATAGTTATCGAGTTTGACGTTTTGCATAAGTTCGTTCATCAAGAGTCTTTGTTCAATTTGGTCATCTTTTCTAAATTTTAATCAATAATATATATATATATATATATATATATATATATATATATATATATATATATATATATATATATATATATATATATATATATATATATATATGTATATATATATATATATATATATATATATATATATATATATATATATATATATATATATATATATATATATATATATATATATATATATATATATATATATATATATATATATATATATATGTATATATATATAACTAATGGTATATTTAAATAATAAATAAAAATTATATTTTTTTATTTAAAAATAGTTAAATAACGAGTATGTTGTTACATGTTTGTTTTTGTGCTAAAAAAAATTCGTTACCTTTTATGATTACCAAAAACTTTTACCGTGCGTCGACGAAAATCCGTTATCTTAGCAGTCTGTTATCTGTAGATGATGTAAATGTCTTATTCCTTTTATACTTTTATCCAAATGTCTAATTCCAAAATTATTATACGCAAAACAACAACGACCTCTCCCACACTAAAAGATTTCATTCTCTCCTAATTGAAACTTGAACATAGTATTTTCATTTCCTCGTTCTGCTTTTAAAAAAATTCAATCAACTGATTGAGGGCTGGGATGAGGGGCAGGCTGCACCCAAAAAAAGTAATCAAGTAAAAATAAAAATAAAATAAAGAAAGACAACAAAAAAATTTAACAAATAAAGGGTGGCGACTAATTCATTTTACTCACGTTAAAAAACAAAAACATTAATGATCGCAAATTATTATTTTTTTAAAAATACTTACAAAAAAGATTTAATAATGAACTTTTATTTTATGATAAACACGTATAAAAACAACTTGCTATAAAAAGCGCCAAGCTTTTAAAAAACTCAAAATAAAATTTGATAAGCCAATTTACCTGCATTTACACGCATTCAAGGTTATGGAAACTTAAAGGAATTTTAAGAAAAAGTCTCTTCGTGGAAGTTTGATACTTTTTGTTGAATTACATTTAGATTTTTAAAATTTCCATTAGTTTTCTTGTTTTATTTTAAGTAAGTTTGTGCATGGTACGTCCTGAGAAACTTAGAACTAGTAAGTATACCTTTTTATTGTCAGTCTATAAATTTTTCAGTCTGCACTGCGAATTATGCTTTTTTCCTCTCAGATTTGTCTGTAAAGGTAGTCAATGTTTACAACAAAGTGACTAAATTTACCTTTTTACTCTTTTTCTACTTGGACCCATTCCTGAAGAACTTGGCTGTAGTTTATGTAGTCTAAATACCCAGTCCATTCTAAAACCTAAATATCGCTTTAATCCACTTGGAAGTGGCAAATCAGCTAACGCTTCAGAAGATGAAGATATATTTTTACTAATTTCTTTACAACATAAATACTGCAATGAAAAGTTTATCTTATAACTGCATACTAACTTCATTTTGGTACGGGCAGCAGTTGAGGATATCATAGGGTATAATTTTTTACCTAAAAGACCTTCAAAAGCAATGCCTAATGGTTCTCCATTTTTATAGAAAGATAAAGTTCCTTTCCACAAATCTAAATGACATCCTATAACAGATCCTCTTTCAAATTTTTTTGTAAACTCACGAGTTTTTCCATTGTGATGAACCGTTCCAAAATAGCTTATACCCCAACTGTTTGATTCTTTACCAATGATACTACAAAATTGCGATTTATATTTATTTAAATCCATTCCGTCACAACCAACACCAACCATCTAAATATAAATCATAATTATTGACCGACATATTTGTAGAAATATTTGTATAACTTAAAAAATTATAAATATATGTTTTTTACAAATATATTTACAATTAAACATTCATTTGAATAATTTAGAGAGATGTTAAAGATACATTGTCACAAGTGCGCCTTTAAAGGTTTATAAGAAAATGTTTTGATTATTCCACAACCTAGCAAAATATAGCACGGTTGGCCATGGTTTGGCCAGTTAAAATACAGAATTTAGAAATTTTATATTTATTTTAGTAAATAAGACAAAATAAATGCATTAAAATAACTTTAGCACATTTTACATACCATATCTGTTCCATAAACTGCGCTAGATAATTTTATTTCCCAGTAGTGCTCTTCTCCTTCTTGGAACTGATTTTTTCCGCGAACGGCAGCCGTCCCACAACTGTAATCTGGATGAAAGTAAACTTCTGAGTTATTGTTTTGAAAAACTACGTCATTTGATTTGCATTCTTCCTCCCAAACCCAGCAAAAATCTAAATGCAAAAATGTTCAAGTAACAAAACCGCACAAAAAAATTTAAAACAAAAATTAAAAAAATTTATATATCAATATACAATTAAGAAAAGTATCTTGTAAACATAAAACGTGTTTTAAACGATTAAAAGACGTATAAACGCTTTTTAGGCGACCTATTTTAGATATATTTTAGATATTTAAAGTACATTTTTGTGTTTATTTTTTATATAAAATGCCAACCAAACACGATAAAAAAGAAAAACGTAATTAATGAAATAAAAACAATATTTATATATAATATAAAAGAAAAAATATGCAATAAATATAATATATAAGAAAAAATAAACAATGAGTAACAATAAAAAAAAGTCAATAAAGTTTATATAAACACGTAAAAATTTGTATAAATAAATATGAACTTGGTTTTAAAAAAGCAAAAAACAAAAAAACAAAACACAAAAGCATGTTGAAATCTTTAAAATAATAAACTAGATTTAATGTCTAACTTACAAATCGTTTTAATAAAATAATAAAAAAACAAATAGTTTGGTTCTTAATTCTTAACAAGCGATTCTCAATTTATTCTCGAAGATTGTTTAAAGCCCTAAACATCTACGACTTGATTTTAATTTAAACTTAAACCTTAAAAAAAAAGTCTCTTAAAAGCAGCTGGTCTACTATTAAGCAATTTTAGGTGACGGCAAGTAGAGGCATTTTATAAGCCGCAGTAGAATTAATTTTGAAATAAGAGAGCAAAAAAATATGTAAACTAGAATAAAAAATAAAAAATAAGCATGAAAAAATAGAACGAGCATATCGTAAGGATAAAAAAATAATAACAATAAAATACATCATCATAACTTAGACAAAACTTTGATTTAAGTGCTACCAAATGGCTACCAAAGTGCTACTAAATGATTACCAAATGAATACTAAATGGTTACCAAATGGTTTAAACAAAAAAAAAAAAGATTTTTTTATCTGTTCTTTATTGAACTATTGATATCAACTGTACAAATGAATTTTATTATAATTACTTTGTGATTTATTAAATTTAGCCTATTTAGATCAGATTAGATTATTAAAATCAGCCATTTAAATTAAGTAGCTATTTGAAAAAGTATTGCTTTTTTCAAAAAAATCTTTATTAAAAAATAAATTTGTTAGTTATTTAGTTATTTTTTACAATTTTCAAAAAAATTAATTTGGCTTATGAAGAGAAAATAAAATTTATAAAGATATTTTATTTCATCTCTAGTAACCTTTTTCAAAGGATTCAATAGCGTATTAGTAGGATCAATACATATTGGTCAGATACTCTGTTACCTCTTTATTTTTTTATTTATAATCTAAAACTATTATTATCTATTAGTAAAAGGAACTTAAGAGAGTGTTTAATATGTAAAAGGGAGTAAAAATGACTTAACAATTTTTATTCATATCCACCCTGATATTGCAACCCTGATATCTACCCTGATATCCACCTTGATATTGCAACCCTGATGTATTTCTTAGTTTAATTTAACATATTTATTTATTTTTGGTTTTTTAGGAGAAAAAGGTCTTCGAAAGCACACACTTTGTTAGAAACGAGGTTTAAGAACTTCAGTTGAAAAAGCCATAACAGATATAAAAGTACTTGCAAAAGGCGAAAAAACCTTCTAATTAATCTTTAGCAAGGTTTTATCTAGATTTTATTTATTTTTATTTATTTTTGATAACATTAATAAAAAAACATCTACCATTAATCAATAAAAATGTTTGAAGCAAAACCAGCAACTTGTACAAGCAACAGTATAACTAGCAACTTGTAGTACAAGTTTATAGTAAATATAAATTAAGGTTAAATTAGATTTAAAATGTAAGAGTTGCGCATTAAATATTATTTTAGTTTTTTGCTAACGATATAAAATGACTTCATAACATCAGTTATAAAATTACTTTACAAAATTAGTTATAACAGCAGACACTGCATTAAGTTTTCAAAACGAAAACGACTATAAATTAAGAATTTTAGAAAATATTTGTGTAACATTTGTCATCGACTATGCATTGTGTGTGTATGTATGTATGTATGTATGTATGTATGTATGTATGTATGTATGTATGTATGTATGTATGTATGTATGTATGTATGTATGTATGTATGTATGTATGTATGTATGTATGTATGTATGTATGTATGTATGTATGTATGTATGTATGTATGTATGTATGTATGTATGTATGTATGTGTGTATGTATGTATGTATGTATGTATGTATGTATGTATGTGTGTGTATGTATCTATATATGTATATGTGTGTATCTATGTATGTATATGTGTATGTGTTTGTGCTGTGTGTATTTCGTAATTTTGCAATATTATTATTTTTTAATTAAAATATGACCCAAAACAGGAAGAAAACAAAAGCTTTATCATTTAATGTTTTGTACATATTTCAAAAATAAGTCAATAAAATTATAAAAATAAAATTATATTGTAATTTTCATTATTTATAAAATATTTGCAAACAATAATAAATATTTTTAAGTTAAAAATTTTATTAATTTTAAAATTTATTTTAATACAGTTTTTTTCCTTCTAAAAACAATATAACTTAAGATTAAAACTTCAAGATATTTGTGATAATTTTTGTGAACAAGCGGATGAGGGATTTTATATTTAAAATAAAAGAGAGTTGGAGATCAAGCAATCGTTTTTTTTAAATACTTTTAAAAAGTTTGAATCGAATTTATAGTTTTACTATTATTTAGAAAAAATAAATTCCATAAATGTAAGTCATTGAGATTTCATATTGTCTTAACATTAGGGGTGTACCTGATTGGAAATTTTGAATTCTGGCCGGAACTGGATTTGCCGGTACTGTAAATAAAATTACGACCTTAACGAGAGTTATATATAAGGATCGTCCATGAAGCACGTAGTCTCAGATGAAAAAAGGGGGTCTGCAAATGACGTATATGAGATGGATGCCAGGGGGTCAACTGTAAATGTAAGAAGACTAAATTGAAAAAAAATATTATAAAATCTTTGGTAAGTAGGTTAAAAGCGTATGTACTTTAAGGGAGGTGAGGAGTACTCAAAAAAGCGTATAGCAACCTATTTCATTAATTTGATTTTTGTTGTATTTAAATCTAATACGTTGTTTTTATTTGTTTCTTATAAATTTATTTATTGAAATTTTTAACTTGCATAATATTTATATTTAAAATTATTTCTTTTTTTTTTATTTTTTCATTTAAAATTGAAATATTTTGTATATTAATTTTCATCCTATACTGTTATTTGTTTAAAACTAAAGTAACATTTAAAACTATTCTCAGAGGCAGGTAACGTTTTTGATGAAAAAAGAGCTAGTTTAACTGAATAGCAACTCTTTTTGCACCACAATATTCCTAACCTTCTAAAAATCATTCATCTTAATTCATTACTGCAAATAATATTACATAGTGTTTGTTATCAACTTTACATTTTTATCTAGGTTTACCTATATTTATTTATCGCCCTGTATTTTTTGATTTAATTTACAGAATCTGTGTCACATGTCTTAAAAAATAAAAATAAAAAATAAATTCTGGCATTCCGGAATTTATTTATTGCCTGATAAATGTTTAATCCGGCCGGAACCGGAATGACGTAACATTAATAAAATCCGGTACGAATTCCAGTCGAAACGAAATTCTGGTACATCCCTACTTAACATGCATACAATAATAAATATGTAATAAATGATAATTATAATCATAATTATGCAATAAATGCTTTCTTTGATATTTAAAATCTTTAATATAGAAAAGATCTTCAAAAATATTTTGTAACATAATTTTGTTAATCTAAACATAAATAAAAGAATATATATTTAACACTCCAAGCTCTCAAAACAGTGGTCTGGCACTGATATATTTATTTGAATTTAATATAAGGCGGTTTGTTTGGTTTTGTTCTTTATAGATATGTGTTAGATTTGACGAATAAGTGCTTGCCTAGACAATGTTACAATAAGTATTATAACTATGGATAACTGAATAATAAATAGATTTTAAATAGTTTGTCAAACTCCCTATTTATAGTGGAAAAGATTGTCGTGTTGTTAGAGTGGATATAAAATACGTAAATGTCGTCAGCAAAAAGATTGAACTTTAGTATACTAGATAATGAATAAATGTTGTTTATATAAATAATAAATAATAGAGGGCCAAGAAAAGATCCTTGGAGGAATTAAAAAATTAAAATTTTTTTACTCGATAACTTATGATTCGCAGCGTCGCAGTATGGTCCACAGTAAGTTAAGTTAATAATAAAGTCATTTTTGAGCTGGCTAAGTTCTTGAAACTATATAAAAGGTTTTCAGACATATCCAAACTATTACAAACATTCTTCCACCTTCTACGTCATAATACGTCTCCTAAAATCAAAATTAAATCAAAATGTAAATTTAAAATTTTAAAAATAATTATAGCTTTTAGTGAAAAGTTTCTAAATATTTTTAATTTGCAAAGGTTGTAAAGTTGCCACTTGTAAAAATTGAGTACTCGCAAAAATATTAAAAATCTATCCACTCGCAAATATAATGCAAATGATATGTAAAATTTAAAACGACATACTTATTTTTAATGAAAACATAAATGATATATATAATAACAAAAGTTGGCAATCGAAAGTTATATGGCTTGGTTATGACAACAAAGTGGTAAATTTTTGATAATATATCAAAATATATCAGGTGTGGAATGGTTGGTTAATCGGGCAACCGGACAAATGCCTAAAACAAATACGTTTTCAACAGGATAATTTTTAAAAGTTTACGCTTTGTAAGTCATAGTGAGTTATCCTACACACGGACCGAATTTCACACTGCCGTCCCGAAGAAAAATTTTTGCTAGAAAAAAAAAAGTCTATTATTTGCCAACTATAGATCCAAACTTGCCGACTACAGTGTTTAAATTTGCTGACTAATAAATTTCCTAAGGAGGTTAATCTCCCCCCTACGAACCCTCTCCACTTCGGGAAGCC